TCCTGGGGGTATATCTGGAGGGACGTGAGAAAAGCGCAGCAAAATCTCCACAGCCAGAGCAGCAGCTGCCAGCTCACATCTGTTTGCGCTGCAATCCATGCCTCCTCAAGCCCTTGCTTTGTTACCCCAGCGCTTTTGTAAGGATCCCCATGCACTCCAGAAACTGACTTGGTAGGTTTCCTCACAAACTGGAAAGGTGGTATGGACCACCTCCAAAACAGTTCCTGATTTCTGTCAACTAGTATCCTGGGATATCCGAGATGCATATCCCCACAGCTGCCCCTGGAGGCTGGCAGAAGATTTTCCCCTGTAGGAAATATTCAGGTGTGGGGGTCCAGAACACAGATGCCACTTGGGAAAGCTAGATTTTTATGCTGTGGTGCCTGAAAATGTAAAACTACTGGGGATGCTTATTGAAAACCTAGTTCTTCTTGGGACTGGCTAACTGTGTGTAAAAATTAGACTTCCAAAGCAATGCTCCATGTGGAGCACAGGGACCTGTGACATCTCCCACACTTGTCTCCCAGGGGCAAGCAGCAGGACTGTCTCCATGGGTGTCGGGAAAGACTTGGAGAATGCCATGGTATTTCCCAAACAGGATACAGCAGCAAGATTTAGGTGCCACCTTCACCATTATGCTAAGGTAGAGAACCAAGTACTATCTGACCAGAGCCTGCTGCTGCTGCCGGCTGGACTAGGCTACTCTCCCTGCTTCTCTGCTGGCACCTCCCACCACCAGCCAAGGACTATTCAACCTTGTGCAGGGAGCCTTTTCCTTGCTAAATAGTACTGACCCCAGCTTGACACAATCTTGCTGGCTCTGCCTGTCAGGAGGATCTCCCTATTACGAGGGAATAGCCTCATCTGGCAGCTTCAACAAGATCACCTTTCATACGTCCTGTAGATGGGGGCAACAGAAAAAGTTAACCTTAACAAAAGTATGTTTGGGGACTCCAACCCCTCAATATCAGTACCTGTGTAACCTAACTCTCCCAAATCCCAAGACAACAGAAAACTGGCACCTGGTGCCCTCTATTCATCTATGATGGGCCTACACCATTGGTTTAACCCCTTGTATCTCTGATGATACTGCTAATTTCTGTGTACTGATCAAATTAGTCCCCCAAATTTACTAATATCCCAGGATTGGGATATTTGACCAAATAAGAGGGGGAAATGTAGAACTTTAAGACAATTCTGAAGCCGTTTCTGACGACTCTTAGTACTTCCCCTCCTCCCATGGAAACCAAGGACATAACAGCTATGCATGCACATATGGAGATTTTGGAAACTTTCCATCTCCCTGAATAGGGGCAAGATAACCCTTAGGTGTTGACTCAGTTACTGATGTTTTGACTTAGTCCCTGGGAAGGGGCAAAGTGACCCTCAGAAGTTTCCCTTTACCTCATCTGATCTGGCAACCACTCTCCAGCCAATTATTGGTAACAGCCCTTTTGAATAAGCCAATCATAATAGTTAAAGAACAACCCCCAGACACCCCCCTTCCTTCTGTGGTTTTTCCCTTTAAAAAAATAGCCTGTACCAGCCATTCAGGGTCTTCTAGCCTCCCGACTTCTGGAAGACCCTGTCATGACAGAATTAATAAAATCCTCATGCTTTTACGTCAGCTGTGATATGAGAGATGGTCTCTTGGGGCGACTCCTCCTCCTCGGTGATTGAATGCTAATGTCCAACAGATGAAGGCTTCATAGTAGAGGTGAAACACTTGGGGTAAACAGTGTTCAAGTGGTGAGAAAACATTACAACAGAATACCAAAATACAATTCTGTCCTCTCTTGTAAGTGGCCATTACCAACACTATCATTGGTACAAACAAAGAAATGTGCATTCCAGCGAATCCTATGAAATATTCAATATTTCTTACTTTGCTTGGCCAAGTGACCTAGGGTTCCTGGTATGCTTAAAATTCCCATAAGAGGGTATCTCAGTAGGCCTATAACAAATACTCAATAGAAAATGCTATGAAGCAGGAAGCTGAATACCTGCTAACATGAATCAACAGTTAGGTCCCAAGTTTGAGTTTCAGTTTTATTACCAGAATGACAACAAGTTTACATAGGCAAAGTCTCACCCCGTTATAAAAACTGAGGTATGAGCATGTCCCCCTACAGTCCATGAACCTATAGGTCAGGACCACCTTGAGGGTCTAACAACCCTTCCACAGGGGCTGCCTAAGACCATCGAAAAACAGATATTCACATTATGATGCATAATAACAGTACCAAAATGACAGTCATGAAGGAGCAACCAAATAATTTTATGGTTGGGGGCCGCCGGCTCTAGAGTAGCCTTTCCATTAGGCCCTGATCTACCTGGTAGTTAGCCTCAGTTCTGCAGCCACTGTCTGCCCCATTAGTTTCTTTGCTTGGAGTCCATTGGACTCCTACTTTGAAATTGAAGTAGGTCTTCTCAGGACCTTGACTCACTCAACTTTACCAAAGAGGCAAGAATTCTTAATTGCTAGACTTACTGGAGATCCCACTCACACCACAGGATATTGGAAAACAACTTCCGCTGGGCAGTAATACTGTTCTGGAAAACCTGCTTAGCCCTGGTGCTTCTACTCCCTTTCGTTGGCTGGAAAACACACACACACACACACACACACACACACACACACACACACACACACAAACCAAACCCTCTTTGAGGAAAGATCCATTTGCTCCCATGGGGGATATCAAGCAGGCCTGTGGCACCTAGTTTCATTAACTCTGCTTTGTTTTCATGAATTCTAAAAGAGGACTCTGAAATTTAGCTCCTAGAGAAATGCAAATTTCGGCACCATTTTAGGGGACTTAGGTCTCAGGATCAGATGCCCAAGGAATCCTCCATTTTCTCACCAAGGTCTTTGGCCTTTTGTCTTCAGTAGGAGGCAATGTGGCTGGAAGTCTAAATGGAGGGTCAAAGGAACTGCACAGCCCAATTCCATAGTATTATGTCTCTCCTGGAGTGACTTTATCATTCCTGCCAAAGGGCCACGAGTCTATCTCATAGGTTCATTTGTTGTTGGAACACAAACACGTTTCCTTCACACATGAACCATTAATGCTTCCTATAACGTTATTGTACAATCATTAAGGCTTAGGAGTCGGCCTTACAGTGTTTTCTCCTAAGATCCAGTGTTTGCAAAGAATTTAGAAAGTTGCCCTGTCCGGATCAGGAATGAAAGCAGTATCTAAACCCTGATTTTTTTCAAGTTTACCCATCTTTTCAGCACACATAAGGTCGATAAACTGCAATCAATTTATCACAAAATTGGACTGACACAATTCACATTTTAAATTTCAAACCTCTATTTCTGGGTAGATTAAAATAACCTGAAATATTTGAAATCCCTGGATTTTAGATAAGTAAAAGATTTCCAAAGTGTTTCTTCATTGACCTTGCTCATTAAAGAATATTATTTTCTCCTTTAATATTAAAAAATCTACATAGCATATAAAATAACTATATTACCATTCAAAGAATTTTGAATTTCTTAGCAAGGCCTTCCTTACCTAACCTGCCACGTGATAATAAAACAGGTACTACACAATGAAGCTTAAGAAACGTAGGAACTCTAGCCAAATCTTCATCTCAAAAAATGTCTTTAAACACTGGAAAACAAACAGAATTTAACAACTAATGGTTGAAATTGGCATTTCTCTTGAAAATTGCCAACCCAGAAGATTTCAAACATTCTCGCCACACATGGAAAACAGTAACTTGTGGCATTCAGCTTGATTGGGCTCATCATTTCAGAATACATGTTATATATAAACATGTAGTATACCTGAATACACCCACCCAATTTTCATATGTTAATCATATTTTAGTAAAGGCAGAAAAAAAGATATCCATTTAGAACTTAGTCACTATACAGAATTCAGCAGTTATTTTGATCTTAAAAGCAGGTTTCTTTATGAAAACAAAGCAGGTATTTCCAAAATTCAGTCACACGTGTATATTCTAAGAAAACTGGCCAGCAGATGCAATTCACACCCTTTCTAAGTCGCAGTATTCTTTCAGTTAATAAAAGCAGGTTTCTTTATGAAAACAAAGCAGGTATTTCCAAAATTCAGTCACACGTGTATATTCTAAGAAAACTGGCCAGCAGATGCAATTCACACCCTTTCTAAGTCACAGTATTCTTTCAGTTAATAAAAGCAGGTTTCTTTATGAAAACAAAACAATGATTTCCGAAATTCAGTCACACGTGTATATTCTAAGTAAACTGGCCAGCAGATGCAATTCACACCCTTTCTAAGTCGCAGTATTCTTTCAGTTATGTCTTTGTATAGTATAGACGTATAAATACCATATAGATAGGAATACCCAACTCTGGCTGAGATGTTCAGGTTGAATAGCACAGTCATTCCGGCTTAACACCGACCAGGATTGAAAGTATAAACCTTTAAACAATGTCTACAAGGAAATGGTTGCATATAACCATGAACTCGTTGCTCGCTTCTCTTTAAACATACCCTGGACGCGTGTCGGGTATAGCTTTGCGCAAAGTGCTCGGTGCTAAATCATTTTGCTGCCCAACAAATCACTGTAGAATTCTAACTGCTTCGAATTATTATCACTGCTTGTATTTTACCCCGGAAGCCCTTTCGACCTCAAAAAATAGTAAAAGTTTACCTGCTCCTGGCAAAGTATTCAATTTCGAGAAATTACAGAGTAAAAACAAACGGTACCTTAATCGCAAAAGCAACCAAAACGTCCTTGCCACACATTCTCAAAGCTTTGCTTTGTGTGGAATATAGACTTTTTTTTTTTTCAAAAAATGGATACATTCCCTTGTACATTTGGGCATTAAATCATTAGATTTCCTCATTTGTAGCTTTACTGCTTTTAAAATATTAGTAATCTTTAGAATGCTGATCCTTTAAAAAAATTCTCCTGCTTTTGTATTTTCTAGCAACAACCATGCCTCCAAATTACAACCTACCATATAACACTTATGTTTGAAAAAGCGAAGCTAAGTTACTCACTTCTAGCAGATGACCTGGCTGCTCATCTTCGGTCCTCTGATCTCCTCTGTGGCCGCAGTAAGTTTGCCGTGGTCGGCTTCCTCCACGTCCTGACTTCTTTTCGCTTGACCTGGTTCTTCCACTCCTCTTTAAGTCTCTGAAACAAAACGGAAGCACCTGAGACTTTAGCTAACATAAAGTTCTGTCCCCAGCCACTGGGTATTGTCCTGTTCTCTGCAGTCAGATTCTGCTACTTTAGTACCCTACTCCTCGGAGATCCCACGCACGTGCTGGTCTCCTCGGAGGTCCAAGGGAAAAAGGCGGAAAGTAGAACAGCTAGCGGCGGAGTCGGTCCGCGGGTGGCCTCCCTAGCACCGCCTTCTCTCTGAGAGCCTCCTGCTCTTCTCAGCACCTCCCCTACTTGCGCTTCCCCCATAGGCCATCTCACCACACGTGGACTCCAGAAGGAAGTCTTGAGAACCGAAGTTGCAGTCTGCCCTGTGGGGATTGCTCTGTTGGGGGGGGAGGGGGGCGGGGAAGCTTCGCAAAATTTTCCAGAAATGTCCTCACCATGGCCGAGTCGCACTCAGAACTCTATCTAAAAGAACCTATCTCCTCCACGAGATCCGTTTGCCTCTCTCAGGAGTCCCGGGTTTAAAGGTGTGTGCCACTACTCCCTGGCCTGTACGGCTGACCATATGGCTGCTTTGCTTTTCTGATCTTCAGGTTGAACCCCAATATCTGTCTCTGGATTTTTATTCTTCATGTTACAGAAGATAGTACTCTCGGAGAGTGGGCGGGACTAGGGAAGCCACCTGCGGACCGACTCCCCTTCTAGCAGCTCGACTTTCCGCCTTTTTCCCTTGGACCTCCAAGGAGACCAACGCGTGCGTGGGATCTCCGAGGTGTAGGGTACTAAAGTAGCAGAATCTGACTGCAGAGAACAGGACAATACCCAGTGGCTGGGGACAGAACTTTATGTTAGCTAAAGTCTCAGGTGCTTCCATTTTGACTCCCCAAGAGAGACCTCACTCTTTCTGAAGAGTGGATGGGGGGCTGGGTGAGGGACAGGTGGGGGAGAAGCAGTGGTAGGAGGGGAGGGAGGGGAACAGTGGTTGGTATGTAAAATGAAAAAAAAATTTAAGAAATTTAAAATATATGTGCACATATACTTAAGCCTCTTGCATGTGGACAGCACAATAATTCTGCACAGATTCGTTCTGGATTTGTTATTGAATCACATGTATAAGCATTATGAAAATTCTTGTAGCATACACAAGTCTATAAAAGCCATATGGAAGCACTTTATCTAAAATCAGCCTGTCCCAGGGGAGCTCCTATTGGCAGCTTAATGGGTACTTGTGTTCAAATGTTGTAAACAAGATGTACAGCTACTCATGAGGAGAAGCGACATTGTTTAACCAAATGCATATGGCCGCCTGCAATAAACTCCTGTTTGTTTACAAGATGCCTGAAACGCCTTCACTCACACATAAACACATCATTATGTATTTTCATCAGTCACATCCCAGTTCTAATGGTCGTGTTTTCTGCCACTGTTTATTTATCTAGCATTGCAAAATGAATACTTTCTAACAGAATAAATATTCATTGGCTTGTTTTAATCTTATAACATTCTTTTTTTAAAATTCAGGTTCTCTCTTTGTAGCCCAGGCTACCCTTCAACTCAAGACCCTATGGCTCTGGCTCCCTTGTCCCAAGATCTGCACCACCATGCCCCCACCCTGAAGCTTATTCTTATACCATCTACAACCCACTTGTTGACCAATTCCTGAGGATAATATACACATGGAGAAAACAAATGATAAGCTGGGTAATTATAAGACAGAAGTTACTTCTTAAGTTACTCCTTATCATATTAACTCAGCTGATATTTCAATCTATGGTGTTCTACCATTTGTTTATATGCATTCTGTCTCTGTCTCTCTCTGTCTCTCTCTCTGTTGTCTTTGTGCAGGAATTTGGGGACATGAATTTCAAATGTCATGATTTGCAAATGAGAATTTCTTTTTTGAAAGTTTTCCCTTTCTTTGATCTTTTATTTTGAAAAGCGACTTTAAATGTCACTAAATGTGCCTAAGAAGACTAGACTTTATATTATGTAATTATTTGCCAAAAAGATTTTTCCTGTAGCCATTAAAATACAATTATCACAGCATATATATGTATATAAAAATTGATATCTAGTTTAGTAAAGTGGTACTTGTAGGTTCTCCTCCCAGATCCTGAGTAGTTGGCTAGGTTCCAGTACCAAGCATGATTTCCCTCTTTTTGAATAGGTCCTAAGTTCCTATTGGTTACCACCATGGTATGTATGCCACTATTTCACCCTTAGAGTTATGTGCCCTGCTGGTCATTGGTGTGATCCATAGATTTCATTGCTAGTAGGACTGTTGATTGCTTCCCTCCTTTAGATACTTGCATGGTGCCTTCTGATAACATTAAAGCTAGTACTCATGGAGGAAACTTTCAGGTCAGGACCAATTCAGAGGCTTCTGGGGTCTGTATCCGAAGTGCATGTTGTGTTTAGCAATAAGGACTTCTCTTCCACCTTTGGGCAGTAACCAAAGGCAAGGCCTGTAATGTTTTGGGAGTCTCTTGTACGACCCTGACCAACAATTCAAAAGGGGTCTTCTCATGTCTAGTGTTGGGATTTTGTTAGATAATCTATATTTTTTAGGGGAATACTTGTCAGCCCAGATGAGAAATTTCCACTTAAATTATACATATACATATATACACACATATGTATGTACTATATACATACTTATATATGTATTAGATGTAATTTTAAGTAGCTAGTTAATATTATGACCCATTATGCCTTTTCCAGATATGCTTACTGCTATTTACCCTCCTCTCTCCTTTTATATTTATCTCTTTCCTTGATCCTTAATTAAAGCCACCCATTTCCCCATTTTCTCTTCAAATCACTTGTACCCTGCTATTCTCTTCTTTACTGTTCTCTCCACTGTGATCCCTTTTTACTTTCTTGGTTTCTGCAGTGACTTTAGATTATACACTCACATGTGAAAATTTCAGCTAGGAACTGCACATGAGAGAGAACACACAATGTTTGTCTTTTTGGTCTTTTATAAACGGATAAATGTAGTGGCTCAATTAGTTTGGGGACCTCAATATGACAAACTTCAAGGGAGAACTTACTTCCAAACACAGTGGAAGGAAAGAAACAACTCCTAAAAAGTTGTCTGCCCTCTGACTTTTACACACGGGTCATGGCACATACCACATACACACACACACACACACACACACACACACACACACACACACTACCACCACCACCACCACCACCGCCGCTAATGATGGTGATAAATGTATTTTACGAGCAAAAGGGACTGGAAAGATGGCTCAGCAGTTAAAAACACTTACTGTTCTTTCAGAGGATTGGAGTTCAGTTTCTAACATCCACATTAGGCCACTCTCAAGTATCTGTAACATCAGTTCCAGTAGACCCAAAATTCTTTTCTGCCTTCCTAGGGCACCCACACACATGTGATGTACACAGAGACATATCTACAAACATCTAAATATTAAGATAAGCAAAATATCGCATTTTTCCTCATGTATACATTCTAGAGTTAAATGTCTGTATATGTGTGTGCATATTCACATACATACGTAGGGCATGAAAATAGAAAGGGGAACTTGAGAGGAGAGGAAGAGGTCTTGAGGATGGAGAGGAAGAAAACAGAGCACAATGGACCACATGTGTCCTGAAAGCAGAAAGTGAAAATGTTTGTTCTCATCTGTTGCAGGAGGAAGCTTCTCTGGTGATGAGTCTAGCAGAATATCATTAGGCATCATCACTACGTTCTTTTCTTCTTCTTCTTCTTCTTCTTCTTCTTCTTCTTCTTCTTCTTCTTCTTCTTCTTCTTCTTCTTCTTCTTCTTCTTCATTAGAAGTATTTGATTTTGATTTTGCCCTAGGTCTCTTGGCTTTCTAATCTCAGCTTTTTGTTCACCCATGCAGTGTGAGGTATGGGTTCCATCTCATGGAATGAACCCTAGGTTAAATCAGTTCTTGTTTGGTTACTCCCACAAGCTCTGTGCCACCATTGCCTTCGTATATCCTGCAGAGAGCACACCGCTGTAGACGAACGGTTTGTAGCTCACTCGATGGTTATGTTTCCCTTCTGCTAACATACAGAATACCATACTGTATCAAAGACACTGGAACATGGGGGTGAAAACTTTATGTAGGCACCAGCTTGACATGTTTATTGAGTTGTGTGGGTGTTGTCTTCATCAATGGGGCCTCGCTCTCGGTTTACAGAGAGAAACCTACAATCTTGGCAATAGCCTGAGTTGTTCGGCATTTCTCATGGAACCCCTTTGACCAACAACTCAATTAGATAACCCAATCATGATACTGAAAGCTTCATTTGGTGACTCTGTCTCCTCCACTATTTGGCAATTTCATTTGGATTGCCTTCATATATGTATATATATTTTAATTTCTACTGTATTATTTTTCCATACTACCCCTGAAATGCCCCTTAATTTTACCTGGTTTTACTCCATATTCCTTCCCACAACCCCCTCGCCTCCCACTCCTCACTCGATCCTCCAATTCCAGCTTTCCGTTCTATACATATATATTGTTCAATTTCTTATCTAATGAGATCTATCTGTTCCCTTTAGTCTCTTACTTTACACCCACCTTCTCTGATAGTATGGATTGTAGCTTGGTTATCAATGACGTACAGCTAATATCCACATATAAGAGAATACACACCACATTTGTTTTTCTGGGTTACCTCACTCAAGTTGATTTTTTTCTAGTTCCATCCATTTTCCTGAAGATTTCATGATGCCATTTTCTTAACAGCAGAGTAATACTCCATTGTGTCAATGTACCACATTTTCTTCAGCCCTTCCTCTATTGAGGGACATCCAGGTTGACCCCCATTTCTGGATATTATAGTTGAGCAAGTGTCTCTGAGGTGGGATGAAGCTTTTGGGTATTTGGCCAAGAGTCATAGAGTGGTCTTGAAGTAGATGGATTCCCAACTTCCTAAGGGACCACTACATTGATTTCCACAGTGGATGTACAACTTTGCACTCCCACCAGTAACAGAGGAGTGTTCCTCTTATTCCACATCCTCAGCAGCATGAGCTGTCACTTCTTTTATTGATCATGGCCGTTCTGACAGTTGTAAGAAGAAACCTCAAAGTAGTTTTTGTTTGCATTTCCCTGATGGCAAAGGATGTTAAACATTCCTTTAAATGTTTCTTAGCCATCTGAGTTTCCTCTAAAGACAATTCTCTGCTTATATCTATAGCCATTTTTAATTGTGATATTTGTTTTCTTGATATCTAGTTTCTTGACTTCTTTATCCCCCTCATATTTTGTTTCTCTAATTCTTATTGTTTATGTTTTATCTGTAGAACTCTATAATTTCTCTTCAGCCTTTCTGATATGTTTTAGTGATTATAAATTATATGTTCTTACTATTTTATAGTCTACACAGTATTGCTTTTTGACCACTTTCTCCAGCAAGTAAATCCTGATGTTAGGTGTGGTGCCTCACACCTGCAATCCCAGGACTCAAGAAGTGGAAGCAAAGGGTTGGACATGAGTTTGAGGCCATCTGGGGCCACATAGTGAGGTTCAGGCCAGTATGGGTTACAGGGTGAGATCATAGTTCAAAAGGAAAATATTTAACAATAGAAATACATTTGCCGTTTTCTAGTGCTCTTTATTCTATAACACCCTATAGATAATCCACGTGCATACATGTTAAACACACATAAAATATCATTTGCTTTTAAGCATTCACATATATTTTATATTTTATCTGTGTTTATGTGTTTATGCATGTGTGTACAATATACACGTGGAAGTAGAAGGCTACTTTTAGGAGTCACTTCTTTCTTTTTACTGTACCCAGGGAGGCAAACTCAGGCCATCGTGCTCGGTGCAAGCATCTGTAGACACTAAGCCATCTTCCCAGGCCCTGTGTGTATTTTAAAGGAAAAAAGTGGACATGGGGAACTTGGCATTAAGATGACATTCAAGCCTTCTGATGGTCTTTATTTGCAGCAAAGGATGTTGTTGTTTCTGGTACTCTTTTTCTTCAACCTGAAGAAATTCTGATTGTTTATATTTGTGTGTTTCTGCTTGTTCCCAGGACTCTTACTTTTCTTTCTTTCTGAAAACATTTATATTACCTTCAGGCATGAAGAATGTTTTTAATGGCTAAGAGACTGAAGTAACCATTTTTTTTATCACAACCTTTTAGAGGAAGTTGCTCTCTTCCAGTTTGCATGGTCACTGATGAGAAAGTCACAGCTCTTTGAATAAAACATGTAATGCATGATATGCTAGCACATCAAGTGTATGGAGGGGATTGGCCATCTTTTCAATACGTGGTCTTGGGATTTCTGGCTATCCCTGTATACAAATGAGGCTTTCCTCCTCTCTCACTCTATTCACTGTGTCTGGGAGGCTTCAATTTGTGGAGGGAGCTTTTATAAAATGAACAATATACAACATGAAGAACTTGATGTTCTCTGCAACCTTGACGGAGGTGATCTACTACAGAAAAGAACATTTTACGGAAGCCTGACCATGTTCTAGTGTGCACATGCTCTTCCCTAAAATTGACACCATTGAGATAAAGACAGGATGGAAGGATGCAACACACTATCATTTCATTTCACCCTTGAAGTACAAAAGATTCCTCAGCACAATCTATCTATCTATCTATCTATCTATCTATCTATCTATCTATCTATCTATGTCTTGCAGGAAAGCCATGGGACCAACTGCTGTATGAATTAGGCCCCTCGTGGGCTTTTGTAATGGACGATGGTAAAGAGTAATCGTAAAAGGTAAGGAAATCTGAGTAAACCATGGTTTTAGTAATTAGGAATGCCTTGATTGGCTCGACAATAGTGACACATCCACTCAAAGTAGTAACAAAAGAATCAACCAGGTGCAGGGCATTTGGGAATATTCTGTCCTATTTTTGCAACTTTTCTGTAAATATAAATCGTTATAATAATTTTTTTTTGCTTAAAAATAAATGGCCTTATGGTGGTTAGGGGCTCTGAATGCAGGGTATGTATCACGGTGAAGATTATGCATGGCTCAAATGTGAGGTTTAAGGGTGTCTGGTTTATCCCCCACTTGGGAATATGCTGTCTTAGTTTTACATTGTAATTACTATGGTCAAAAGCAACATGAAAGGGTTTATTTAAGTTTACAGTTGTAGTCCATCATGAAAGGAACTCAAGAAGGAATCTCGAAGCAGGAATCAAAGCAGAGGTGTAGCAGAATAATACAAACCCAGAAGTAGGTATTGGGGTTCAAGATGAAGATCAGAAAAGCAAAGCAGCAAACCACTAGAGAGACGTTTTACCTCTACCAAGTAATCAGATTAAAAGAGCGAGATGCTGTCTCCACGAATCCTCCAACACTACTAGACTCCAGTGAGTTCCTGTCTCTTCCCCTTTATATTTATCTCTCTGCCCAGCATATTGCCCCTGTCTCTACCTCCCCAGTGCTGGGATTAAAATTGTGTGACTCCCAAACACTGAGATTAAAGGTGTACACCTCCACCACCTGGATCTGTTTCTGGAACAATCTTGTATAGCCCAGGCTAGCCTTGAACTCAGAGAGATTTGCCTGCTTCTGTCTCCCGAGTCCTGGGATTATAGTTGTGTGCCACCCCCCCCCTCTGTGTAGCTGAAGAGTATGGCTGCTTTGCCCGCTGATCTTCAGCTGAGCTTTATTCATTTAAACACAAATATACCAGTATACAGAGGCCATGGCGGGAATGCTGCTTACTGGTTTGCTTTCTATGGCTTACCTTCCTTGTTATATGCCCTACCACCACCTACCTGCTGAAGTTTATTTATACAAGGGTGTTGGGCTTGGGGTGGGTGTCATTAGACTCTCACCTGAGATTCCAGCCTCTCCATGAGGCTTTTCCTTCTCAGCTGTGTGTGATTCTCTCCCAGTTACATGTGGTTCCATAGCCTCTGGAGACACTAGAGTACCGAGTGTGTGGATGGTCCGCTGACGGGGCAGGCACTTCTATCTACCCAGCTACAGAGAAGGAATCCTTCTTCCACGCAGCAGTCAGTCGCAGCTTTGCACCTGTAAGTAATCCCTCATCCGTTAGCTGTAAGTTTTAAACTCTTTGGCTCACCAAGATGGGTTTTGGTGGAATACTACCTTGGTCTGTTGCAGCCCTAGCTGATTTGGGAAAGCATTAACTCTCAGGCTCTAAGTCAATGCTTGCAGAAACACCCACTTTTTTCCTTAAGTACATCCACTTTTTAAAAACCACATTTCTAACGCATTATCTTCTATCCCAATTAAAAATTTCATCCTAGTACCTGAGGGAAAAGCTCAGTTAGCAAGGTGCTTGATTTCCAAAACCCAGAATCTACATAAAACTCCAGTTGTGGAATCCCAGCACAAAACTGTGGAGACATAATGTTCCTGGGGTTTACCGGTCAGACAGCTTACCCTATTTTGTGAACTTCAGGCCAATGAAAGACTCTGTCTCAGAAAAAAGTGGACAGCACCTGAGAAAACACACCCAAAGCTGTCCTTTGGCATCCACCACAAGACTGAACAGACACCTGCGCGCGTGCACACACACCTACACACAAACCCCTATATTTGATAATCTGATGTGGAGGTTCTCCTCCCTGGATACCTCATGAAATCATACTAGGAGCTTACATACCACACACACCACTACAACCTCTCAACCTACGCCCCCACACACGGAGGGTGGGAGGGAGAGTGAGTGAATTTTGGACCGTATGCCCAAAGTCTAATTTGATTTGCCTGAAAGGAGGTCCAGGTATCAGTGCTAAGAAATCAGGTGATATTACCCTATCTAATTCCAGCCTCCTGACTTCTACTTCCAGTTACCTCACTGGGTTTTCTTATTAAGTGGAGAGGATCTCTGTTTTTTTTTTTTTTTTCTGGTCTTGACTTTAGGAGCAGTCCCTTCCTTCCTTCCTTCCTTCCTTCCTTCCTTCCTTCCTTCCTTCCTTCCTTCCTTCCTTCCTTCCTTTTTTCCTTCCTTCCTTCTTTCCTTCCTTCCTCTCTTCTGTCCTTCATTCTTTCTGTTTGTCTTTCTTTCATTCATTTGTTTATTTGATCCTTCTTGTTCTCGAAAGAGAAGAATTCAGATAGGATGCAGTAGTTGGTAAGTACTCAAGAGTATAAGCAGAGCAATCAAGGAGGCAAAGCAAACTGGCCAAGTCGAGATGCAGCAACCTAGATTCTAGTGAGCACAGGACCTAAATTTCTCTTCTCACTGTCCATCTCTCCTTTGTGCTCGCCCTAGAATGGGTACTCCTCGGAAAAGCCTGTGCTTTTCTCAGAAGCCCAGCTAACCTAGAATTCAATCTGTTATAAGTAAGTACGTGTATATGATGCAAGAATACGTAAAGAAGTTTAAGAAACAGCTGAAGTTTGGTGGTGCACGCCTTTAGCCCCCGAACTCCGGAGGCAGAGGCAGATGAATCTCTGAGTTCTTGGCCAGTCTGGTTTATAGAGAAAGTTCCAGGACAGCCAGGGCTACACAGAGAAACTCAGATAAATAAGACTGAAGGAAGGAAAGAAAGAAGGAAGGATGGAAGCAAGGAAAAAAGAGAAGGATGGAACAAAGAGAAAGAAAGAAAGGAAGGAAGAAAGAGAGAGAGAGAGAGAGAGAGAGAGAGAGAGAGA